ATGAAGACAAAGTTCAATGCGGACTCTGCGATTGGACTGTGAAACAGAAAGTTTCTGGAAAAACTGGTTAAAGTTAATAAAGTCTGTGGTTTAACTAATTGTCTTTTGTACAAACGTTAATTTATTAGTTGTGACCCTGGTTGTGTTAACATTAGTGGTATATAGGAAAGATATATAGGAATTCTTTGCAACTTTTCTGTAAATCTAAAATTCTAACACAAAAACTTATTTAAAAAATCTTAAACATGTAATAAAATACATGTAGACACATTTGGATCCCGATTCAAACTATAATTTTTTTTGAGAAAACATCAGTAACTTGAATATAGATTGGGTATTAGAGAATATTAAAAATATTAATTTTGTTAGATGTGATGTTTATGAACAAAAATCATCTTGACCTATTGAAGGTGCATACTGAAGTATTTATAGGTGGAATGATGCAAGTATTTATGGGTAAAGTGATATAATTCCTTGGAGTTACTTCAAAATACTCTAGAAAAAAGTAGAGTTGGGGAAAAAGATGAAAACATTTGGGAAAATATTAATACTTATTGAAACTGGATGAAAGGTACACGGGGGGTCTATTATACTATTATTCTCTTCACTCTTATGAATAACTAAATTGTCTATAGTAACAAGCTATATAGATAACATTGCTCCATGGATGTGACTCAGTGACTCCCCACTTTTTAATCTGACAGGACTTTTTCACACCTTGATAGCAGTTCCTATGTTGCTTTACACTAGTCACAGAATCTGTCTCTCTTTTTTCTGGTTTGAAGACTTCTTGTGCCTTTTTAAAATTTCTTTACTTTTATTATTATTTTTTTTACAAATCTCTACCAATCCTATTCACTCCAACAAGTACTTGCTGAGCAGTAGTATGTGTACCTGGCCTGTGCTACCAACAGGCCATGATGGGGAAAAGCAGACAGTGTAGCTAACACATTGAAGTCACAGTGCAGAGGCACCCGCAGATATTAAGTACGTGCGGCAGTAAATGTCATTGCTATGAAGAGTGTTATCCGGGAGAGCTCTGGTGTCGGTGATAAAGACGAGTCCACAATCAGAGTTGGCAGGTGATGTAACTGTCGGGCTGCAGCCTGAAAGTCCTTCACTCCCATGGAGGTGCTCCTTTCCGCAGGAGCCCAGGAGTCAGCTCTCATACCTGCTCCTTTACCTTCCAATTCAACAAGCCTTGCCGACCTTTTTTTTTTTTTTTTTGGTCCTCCCACACGCTCTGCTCTTAGGAGCATTTTCTAACTGCTAGGTCTTAGGTGAAGCACCAAGCACTTCACTTGTTTATGTTTCTTGGAGCTTTTGATAAAAGCAACCTTGTCCTATTACATTAACCATGAAAGTGAATGACAGGTCTTTCAGCCTCTTAAACAGATGTTCAGTGCCCTGCCCGCCCTCTATCCCCAGAAACGTAGTTTCTTAAAGATCGAGAATGCAGATGACCTAACCTTCCTCCCCACCCGCTTGCCATGCATCTGCAGCCCACCACAGCTGCATGCGGGGCTGCTGGAGCAGGGCTAGGAATAGGAAATTATTTTGCAGTTAAAAACGTATGGGATGAAAGCTGCTGACCTGCCAGAGGAATGCTGCCTCTTTACTGAGGTCATGGAAAAAGCACGGCAAGGCCCGGCTCTACATTTGAGCTCTGCGCCTGGCTCTCCCGCCCAGCATCTGATCTATTAACAACCAGGCTGTCATGACAAAAGGCCTCTTCCGTGCAAAGCAGCCTCTGCAAGCTCTCCGAAGACAATCATTGAACAAGTGGCCGCAGCCTTGGGGAAACCAGGCATTTCCCACCTTAGTACAGGCTATTGCATAATTAATTCTAGTCTCCACTCTGCAGGGATAAGAGCATAGAATTGGGGGCCAGACTACTTTGCTTCCAATTCCAGGTAATCATCACTACTACTAGCTTTGTAGCTCTGGGTGTTATTCAACTGCTCTCCATCTGCAAAACAGGGTTAACGATAGCACCTACTTCATAGGGTTATGAAATTTAAATGTATATATAGTATCTTGATATTAGATGCACTGTGAGCTTGCTGCCATTATTGTTAGGGTTGAAAATCATAAGAAGTAGGTCTAGCCTAGAGTAAGAACTAAACTTAATCTCTTACCTTCATTCTCTCTCCTAATGCATGTGGCTCGTAACTCATGTCCTTCACCTGACCTGTTGGATTCCCAGTAGTGCCCACAGTAGGTGGTCCATAAAAATGTACTGAAAACTAAAGGTATGAAGACCTCTATTGACCTGCCACTTCTGACTTCCAAAGTATCTGCTAAAGGAGATTTCTAATACTTAAATGAATTAAAATGAACTGAATTTTGAAAGACTGTGCTCAATATTGGACCAATTGTTTCTAACCCACAGGCTGTTTGATAGTTAACAGGCCACTATTTCTCACCAGACCCCGAATGTGAGAGAGAATGGGCTGAAGCTTGGTGAAATGGTAACAGGGTGGTTACTCCAGCAACAATTTGAAAATTAAATAGTCTCGGGGGGATGGGGGGGCTTCTGTTTTGCACATGAATATGAAGCTGTCACTCTATTCATTCTAGAGTTTAATGTAGTCTAAAACTAATGCACAATTTTGTGAATTTCACGGCAGCCTGAGTATCTTCTATGTAATTGTGCACGTGGGATTCTTCTATTTCTGAGCCTCAACTAAACCTGAGCAATGATAACACTGTTATTTAGGAAATCTGGTGTTACACAAAAGAAGTCTCTAAACAGGTAGCTCAAAAGATCTAGTTGTTTTCTAAATCTCTGGTAGATACCCAGGGTTGATAAATCTGAATTTTACATGTCATATTGTAAACATCAAGTAACACCACAAACATTTTTAAAAAAGGAAGTTTATTGGTCTTTAAATGGCTCAAATTGCAAATAAAGCAACTGGGTAGTGGCATCAGCCTAAGACATGTGATGTGTCTGTCAGTTGGCTTCATAGCACCTCAGTACCCAGGAGAGGAAAGGTCTCAAAGCAAAGTCACAATGTTAGTGGTTAGGACCCCTGGTTAAATAAGACCACAATGAGTACACATGGAGAGCGCAGGGCCCACGGGGCCGGTGTGACATTGGTACTTTAATTCTGACATGGCAGCCTATGAAAAATACCAAATAAAAGATGTACATCTCAAACCCTTTCAGGACAAATATTTAACATAACAAGCCAGGTGCAATATCTAAAGAGCTGAGTTTCTAAAAAGCCTATTTTCGTTAACTTTACTTACACGTCTGTTACCTGGAATGCCTGAACTATTGAAATTAGGACTGAACAAAAAGAAAGAAAAACTCTGCGAATCAATTGTCTTAGCTCCGTTCCAAAAAATAAAAGAAAAATCTGACAGTGGTAGATTTCCCACTGAAATTATGTTCCTAAATAGCATGCTAGAATTCTTCCAGTGGGCACCCCACACAATGGTGACACAGGCCTAAGGTTTTACCTGTGGATGCTTGTTTTCTGCACTGTACTCAGGTTTGATTGCTTGATGTTAACTTTAAGGAAAATATAGCTAGTGTTCATTATGAACACAAACAGGAGACAAATACACCTAATAACGCCCATATAGCCAAAATGTAATCTCATGAGTACATGTTTAAAAATTAACAGGTGGTGCCCTCCCGGGTGGCTCAGTTGGTCGGAGTGTCATCTTGTACACCAAAAGGTTACAGGTTCGATTCCCAGTCAGGGCAATCACATGAGAGGCAGCTGATGGATGTTTTTCTCTCACACCGATGGTTCTCCCTCCCTCCCCCTTCCTCTAAAAATCAATAAAAACATATCCTGTGATGAAGATGAAAAAAAAATTTAACAGGTGGCAAGCATGAATAGTTCCCCAAAGTTCTAGTGCAAAATGCATTCGTGCTACTGATGTTTTTCCTGTGATTGCTCCGAGGAGAAAAAACCTTAACATGCTTACCACTTGCAGAAAGAGATTTCCAGCGACTAGCATCTTAAAGAAAAAGAGGGTTCACTAAAATGTAACTGGTGCTGAATCCTCATAGTCTAAAATTATCTTACAGGTATATGCTGGCCCTTCGTTTTAAACTCGCGTATTGTTAATTAAAAGCATTCAGGAGCTCTGGAAGCTTACTTTGAAGAACCAGAGTATGGCACACATTTTAAATTTGAACAGACTCCCTAGCAGTTACTTCTCAAGAACCTTTGTATTCCTTACCAGGTATAGAGTCTCTCACCAGGACACACGGGGTAATGGCCCATGGCACCAAGGAGGACACACCCAGAATGATGGAACTGGGTATTTTTAGTTTCTAAATTAAGGCATATTTAAAAATGTCCATGTGCAAGTTTACACCACTCTTCTAGGTCAATCACCAGGTAATTAATGCCGGTTCACAGATAAATTACTCTCATAACTATATGCAACAATCATGCCACTAACTTTTCTTCTATATTTTGCATAATAATGGTTTAAAAAAGTGGTACAGTTTAACTATCGTTCACAATTGTCATTTTCAAGGCAGTAGGAGACCACAACATTTTAAAATGATATAAAATAGCTTTACCTCCCACTCTCCACCCCCAGCGCACCCCTTTAACAGTTTCGTAAAGACTGCCCTCAAAACACAAGCTCATACATTACATTCAGGATCGTGATAATGTAGGCAATTATGAAGTAAGTTGAACTTTGCTTCTTGTGAAGCCACATTAATTTCTTTTTAAAGCGAATCTGACTTTCAGTGCAGTTCCAATTCATGCTTTTAGTGATACATAACAATTTCCAAAATGTTAAAGTAATTTCAGTCAATTGAGCCTTCAATGGCAATGCTTATAAATTATATTTATTAGTATGGTCAAGATAAGAAAGGAGTTTGGGCTTTGATTATAAAATGCAGCATCTTTCTCTGATTCTCTTGGCTAAACTTTTCCTTTTCTTTTTTCCATTCTTTTCTTTGCTATCTTCCATCTTTCTGGCTCGAATTTCCCTCATTAAATCAAAAAATACCTAGAAAGAAGAAAAGAAGGTAAATAAAGCAAACAGACAGTATGAGCTTGGTACTTCTCAGAATCACAGCAGTAACCCCTGGACATAATATAAGAATAAATACTTAAGGGCTGTTTGGGGAGCATAGGGAGAGGAAAATTAAAGTCTACTTCTCTACGTATATTGGAAAAATGTAAAAATTGGGAAATTTTCTGAATTACACTTTTTGGTAAAAATGTTCACATAATATAACCTGGTCTTTCCATTCCAATTTTTAAGATAAAAGTGATGACAGCTCCAAAGATAAAACTCCTGAATTATGAAAAAGCCTAATTATAGAACACTTTGCAGATCTAAAAAGAATGTGGTACATCTATATACAATGCCATGGAAAGAACTACAAGCCCTATCCATCGTACAATTTAAAAAACAAACAACAGAAATTGTCTATCATCATATACAGAAATGCTATACATATAATATATAAACACACTATACATTTATATACTACATACTGTAAAAACCCTACTTATACGGGGAAAAACAAGCAAACACACTCTCCCTTAGACTCTGTATGGTGGCCTATAAATGCAAGCAAATGCTTGGAAAGATACACACATGTTGGCAGCGGTTACCTACAGGAAGGGGAGGGAAGTAGAATCTGGGTGAAGAGTGACTCACTTTTTCCTCATACTTCTCCCTCCAAATTATGAATGTTTTTTGCACAATAAGTATATTGTATAAGCAATATACAATGAAAAAACAAACAAAATAATATTAAAAAGCCAAAGCCTTTAGCTAGAAGGGTATTAAGAAGGTCATCAGATGAACCTGGCACCCAGTCAGTACACAAGCAGGTATGTCGGATGGCCCTCTAAATCTGGGTAATTCCTCTGTGATAGGCATAGCCTCCTGGAACAGGCTAGGCTCTAGCTCAACAACTCTGATGGTCACGAAGCTTTTTCACAAGGTGGATTCACTGACGGATTTAAATCTGCCTCTCTGAAGCATCTACCCAATGGTCCATTTGGAAACCAGATGAGGACAGGAATTTTGTAGGGAGATAAGTATCTGTTTTCTGTGACAAAACATGATACTTTTCCACTTGATAGACTGTATGGTTTAGAGCAGTGGTCGGCAAACCGTAGCTCGCGAGCCACATATGGCTCTTTGGCCCCTTGAGTGTGGCTCTTCCACAAAATACCACGTGCGGGTGCGCACGTACAGTGCGATTGAAACTTCGTGGCCCATGCGCAGAAGTCGGTTTTCGGCCTGGGCGAGTCTATTTTGAAGAAGTGGCGTTAGAAGAAGTGGGGGTGTCGGTCGGGCGGGCAACGGGAGACGCAGCTCGGGGGAGGTGCGCGCGATTCATGCACGAGTTGAGGATGGGAGAGTTGGAAGGGGTCGACCTCAGCGAACGTACCTCAATCAGATTGAGGACGTTTTTAGCAAAGGCCAGCTTAGGAGTACCCTAATGAAGTTAATAACAATGTACCTACCTATATAGTTTAAGTTTAAAAAATTTGGCTCTCAAAAGAAATTTCAATCGTTGTACTGTTGATATTTGACTCTGTTGACTAATGAGTTTGCCGACCACTGGTTTAGAGTATGTTCTACAACCTGCTCAAAACATCAGTGAGGAGAAAACAAAGTATATATACACTAATGCTATGATAATGTGCAATACTGCCTTTCAAAACCCCAAAGGTACAACCTTAAAACATATTTTTATTAATACTTTAAAAAACATTGGCCATAACTTTAGAGAAAACTCGTATACTGAGTAGAAATTTTATAGCATTCATTTTGTACAGATATCTTGGATCTATAGGAATCTGACCATGTGACTAAAAAAAATTTAATCAGCTTGATATAGTAATGACACTGTCTTAAGACCTACAGTAAGTGAACAAAAAAAATTGCTAATGTTTTTAACCTTCTGAATTCTGGATCAGGGCTGTAAATCTACAAGCACAAGGAGAGTTCCCTAGAACATGAGGCCACCTAGAGCAGCGCTGTTCCTCAGGCAGTGGGCTTCAGCAGTCCAGTCTGCACCACCTGGGAGACAACCAGTATGCAAACTCTCAGGTTCCACCCTGAACCAGAGCAATCAAAATCTCTGGGGAGTAAGACCCAGGAATCTGTGTCTTTAAAAAATACATATTTTTATTTATTTCAGAAAGAAAGGGAGAGGAGGAGAGAGAAACATAAATGATGAGAGAGCATCATTGATCGGCTGCCCCCTGCACGCCCCCTACTGGGGATAGAGCCTGCAACCTGGGCTTGTGCCCTTGAGCAGAATCGAATCAGGGACCCTTCAGTCGGCAGGCTGACGCTCTATCCACTGAGCCAAACCAGCTAGGGCGGAATCTGTGTTTATCAAGCACTTGGTGGGATCTAGATGGTTGGGGGCTGAAAAAGGCCCCCCTCTCCCCGGCTCTAAGCACCTGTGTTGCCTCAGCCCAAGAGGCAGTTTTCCTAAATACTGAGGACAATCGCTGGCAGCAGGGTGAAGTGCACCTGGGAAGGCTCCTAGAAACAAGTGTGTTCCTCACCTGGTCTCCAGGAAAGACCAATCTGAACAAAGTGGGACTATAAGGAAAGAGGGTAGGCGGTTTCCCTTTCCACTCAGGGCAAAACAGAGGTTGAGGATGGGGAGTAGAGTTATACAGAGATTTAAAAATCCTCTAATCCTGCCGAAACCAGTTTGGCTCAGTGGAAGGTCCCAGGTTCGATTCCGGTCAAGGGCATGTACCTGGGTTGCGGGCACATCCCCAGTGGGAGATGTGCAGGAGGCAGCTGATCGATGTTTCTCTCTCATCGATGTTTCTAACTCTCTATCTCTCTTCCTTCCTCTCTGTAAAAAATCAATAAAATGTGTTTAAAAATAATAAAAAAAATAATAAAAAATAAAATGTTTGGAAAAAAAAAATCCTCTAATCTAGGGCTCTTTCACTTTTGAGAACTTAAATGGGGAGACAGTTGTCAGCTCTGTGGACTGATACAATTCCTTCTAAATCATCCAGCCACCAATCAAGAAAAGAAAGGGGAGGGGGAAAAAAAGGCAAGCATTCAAGCCAGGAATCCCAGCAGTGCAACAACAAAAATGTACATTTGCTATGGTGTCTCCTGTTGTAATGTCTCTTGGAAACCAAGGGACAAAGTGAAGTAAGAAATCCCTAACATGTTGCACTTGAGCATTCAGGGCTGACAAAAAAAAAAAATCAACACATACTAAATTGTGATTTGAAAGTCTCAGAATTTCTGGACAAAATGGAACAGGGTTAAATCAAATCAACCTATTTTTAACATGGAGTACAGCAAGCCACCTTTACCTTGTCAACATTAGCTCGTGTTTTAGCAGATGTTTCCACATAGTTAACATTCCACTGATCAGCTCTGGTTTTTGCCTCTTCTACAGAAACCTGCCTTTTATCTTCTAAATCTGATTTGTTACCAACCAGCAGAAATGGAACATTCTCATCTTCTTTTACTCTTAAAATCTGCTCCCTGGATGAGAGAAAATGAGAAACATTAACATTACCTGTACTTGTTAAAATAACTAAAATACCACCTGCTTTTGGCACTTATTTGTTTCTGCATAATAACAATCAGCTCATTTATTCCATGGTAGGAAATGTGCAGCACTTCTTCCTTATTCTACCATCAACCATTTGAGTTACACATTCACTTAACTGAAAAAGGAAAAATACCCCAAGGAAGACAGTATAAAATATGGCAGATGAAGTACGAAATAAAAGTATCAAATGCAAGTTCCCCCTGAATGCTTTCCAGAATTCCACCTAGGATACATGACCTTTTGTCATCCTATCTCCTCAGATTCCACTTGGCTAGGACAGTTCTCAGACCTTCCTTGTTTTTGATGACTTTCACAGTTTTGAAGAGTGCTGGTTAGGTAATTTGTAGAAAAATATCTATTATGATTTGTCTGATGCTTTTCGCATGATTAAACTGGGGTCATGGGATTTTGGAGGAGGACACAAATGGAGAGAATGCCATTCTTATCACACCATATCAAAGATCCAACTAAATGTTTTTAAAGCCCCACACATGCTGGAAATATCTGGAAGTCAGCTCTTTAGTATAGATTTTGCATTTAGAGATAAGTTTCCAGCTTTGAAAGTGCCACCAATTTTACAGATAGCACTGCCCTTCCTAGTCATGTGACTCTGAATACAGCCCTTTTTTTTTTGCCTCAGTTTTCTCATTTGTAAAGTAGGACTACAATAATATCTTCCTTATACAATTGCTGTGAGAATTAAACATAAAGTGCTTAGCACATAGTCAATATTCAGGAAATGCTAGCTACTCTTATGGATTATTATTAATCCATTGGAGAAAGATGTTTTCTTGTAAAATCAACAAACAAGAGAAATTCGTGAGACAGGTTTACTAGCTTACTATCTTACAGATGCCTCTCCTTTGAAATCAAGAGACATTGAAACTATAGAAATGTAAATACTTTAGACTAAGAGAAAATCAGAAAATTAAGGGATTAGAATGACAGATCAGCAGGTGCATCTGATTTTGTAGGACTCGTACCGTGAAGTTTGACAGTATCAATCTTTGTCATGGTTTATTTTCAGGTTAGTTTATTTTGTGGCTCTCAGCATCTGCTAAATAATGCCACCACCTCCACTGCTGCTAACATTTTGAGTGCTCACAATGCAGCAGGTGCTTTAAATGTTTTAAGTGCTTCCCATTTATTATCTGATTTAATCCTCACCCCTAACTACAGTTAATACTAGTATTATCGTCCTACTACAGATAAGGAAAATGAGGCACAGAGAACTTATGTAATTTGCTTAGTCACAGTTAAGTAGAAGTAGGATAGGAGTTTGAGAAATCTAACTCCAGAGCACACACACAACTTCTACACTAGGTACCTCGGGGCCTCCCCATAATGGAATGTCTAACGGAACAAACCCTGTTCAAAAGGTTTAGTTCCCAAAAGTTAGTCATCACAAGAGACCCCTACCTCTGACACGGAATGAACACCAAGGTGTCCACTGGGCATTATGGTGAGGGTCTCCACGTTACAGGACATTTCCCCTGCATGGCAAAGTTACAAACGGGCAGAGGGAAACCTCTTTATTCTAGTTATAGTCATCAGAGCCAACCTGTGGGGGAAGATGAGGTAAAAGAAAGGTGGGAGAAAAGTGTTGATCATATGAAGACATTTACCTTTCTGAGAAAATGTTTTCAATTAGTTGTTTCAACTGAGGGTTAGGAGTGATACTAACAAGATAACTAGTGATACAATATGATGTCATAAAATACTTTAATTACAGAGTTTAAAAACAATGCCTTACATAAAAATGTTTAATACATTAAAAAATACACAGGAGGGAAAGGGCTGCATTTTAAAAAGAAAATTCGCCATATTCCATTTTAACAACATGAAATGGGATGGCCATATGGTGTGATAAAAGAGCCATCAGTTGTTTAACGAGAGCCAGTACTGCAGAGTTTTTAAAAGCAAGAATAGGGACCTCCTGATTTTAACTGCTTTGCCACTCCTAACTGCATGTCCAGGGGGAGGTCACTGAACCTTTGTGTGCTTCGGTTTCTTCATTGATAAATTTGGATAATATTTAACACACACACACTTTTAAGAAGTCACTAACGATATGCATTATTTATTTCATGAACTACTAAGAAAAACTGCTGCCAATTAAGATGTCATACAATATGACGCAGTCCTGATTTTAATAGATGACAAAATGTAAAAACTGTGTGTCTTAGCATCATTAGTACTACATTCACCTGATTACTGATGAAGTGATAAACACTCTGACTCAATGCTTGGATCCGAATTACTAGTTTTTCTAGTATGAATAAACTACGGACCATACATACAGTCACCTCCATCCTTCACTGATTTGTAGTTACCTTAAACATTCTTTTAGAAAGTAAAAATGTTAATAAGAGTACCGAATATGGGTGAGAGGCTGAGCTGTACAGTTCTAGAGTGCTATGTTTCCTACTACTCACATGATTTCTTGCAAAAAGCATCTCAACACTCAGCATTACTGGTATTAAATTTATGACGTATCTGTGAAGAGGATTTCGGCCAATCACAATCTTTTCCCAGTGCTGGTAACACCAATTTGCTGTTACTTTCTTACCCAGTTTCCTTTGTGAACAGCAGCCTAAACCAGTGGTCGGCAAACTGCGGCTCGAGAGCCACATGCGGCACTGTACATGTGCGCCCGCACATGGTATTTTGTGGAAGAGCCACACTCAAGGGGCCAAAGAGCCGCATGTGGCTCGTGAGCCGCAGTTTGCCGACCACTGGCCTAAACTAAGATGTTAATAACTGACTTACCACTCAGTCTCACTAACCACCAGGAATGTAAGAGTAACTCTAATTTGTGACTCTAGCACTTCTGGTCATATTATATATAATCATTAATTTATTTTCTTTAAAAAAAAACTTTTTTAAAAATATTTTATTGATATTTTACAGAGAGGAAGGGAGAGGGATAGAGAGTTAGAAACGTCAATGAGAGAGAAACATTGATCAGCTGCCTCCTGCACACTCCATACTGGGGATGTGCCTGCAACCAAGGTTCATGCCCTTGACTGGAATCGAACCTGGGACCCTTCAGCCCACAGGCCGACGCTCTATCCACTGAGCGAAACCAGTTAGGGCAAATTTACTTCTTAATAAATACCTACAAAGCTACTATGAGTCAGGTGCTTCAGGAAGATCCAGTATTGAAATTACAGTGTGATTAATGCTATCAGAAAAATGGCCATAGAAAACTTGGACGCAATGGGTTCAGAGGTGAGAAGACAACATTCTTTGAAGTTATTAATAAGTTGGTTTTATTAGCTGCTTTCCTGGATGTCAGAGAAAGATACTGCTGTGTCTAGAACATTCATACACATTTGCTTACTGTGATGCTCTCTTTAAATAGAGTTAAAGAGAGTATTATAGACTTTTAGAATAAGAAAGAACCTTTACAAACTGGTCCAGCTTCTTCATTTTTGACATAAGAAAAGTGTGAATCAAAAAAAAGCAAGAGAGTCTACTAACATTTCTATCAATTGTTTACTAAGCATTATATGTTACTAGAGGCCCAATGCACGAAATTCATGCAAGAGTAGGCCTTCCATCCCCCAGCTGCCGACACCAGCTTCCCTCTGGCACCCGGTACCCGGACTTTCCTTGCAGCCCCAGCTTTGTCCAGAAGGTCATCTGGTCTAATTAGCATATTACACTGTTATTATTATAGTCTAGAGGCCCGGTGCACAAAATTTGTACATGGGGGAGGGAGGGTCCCCTCAGCCTGGCCTGCACCCTCTCCAATCTGGGACATCCCTCTTGCAATCTGGGACCACTGACTCCTAACTGCTTGCCTGCCTGCCTGCCTGATCACCCCTAACCCCTCTGCCTGCCTGTCTGATCACCCCTAACTGCCTCTGCCTGCCGGCCTGATAGCCCCTACCTTGCCCCGCTGCTGGCCTGATCAACTCTAACTTGCTCCCCTGCCGGCCTGATCGCCCCTACCTTGCTCCCCTGCTGGCCTGATCAACCCTAACTGCCTCTGCCTCGGCCGGCCCCGGGCCTAAGCTGCAGTCTGGCCTCCCTCTGTGGGAGGCGACCTGGTGGATCAGGGGAAGGCGCTGCCCCCTTTACCCCGCTGCTGCTGCCACTGCTGGCCTGAGCCTTGGCCTGGGCCTCGCAGCAGCCGCCACAGCTTTGTCCGGAAGGACGTCCAGATGGTCGTCCAGAAGACATCCGCTCTAATTAGTATATTACCCTTTTATTAGTATAGATATGCTAGCAACTGTGCAAATTACAGGTGATAGGAACACTGACATGGATAAGAAATGAGTTCTGCTCTCAAGAATCTTTACCTATAAATCAAGCTCAGTATAAGTGCTATTGGAGCCGGGGAAAGTACATAGCAAACAGAGATGAAGAAACAATGGATTCCACTCTGAGAGGGGGAGGACCAGAAAGACTACACAGAGGAGCTGACATCTGTGGTGCACTTTGCAGGTTTGACCATGTGGACTGACAGTCCCCAAAAGCCCCTCCGATAATCGCTGGTCAGTCATTAGGACATTGTTGTTTATGAGAAGGGCAGCATACTGGAGGTACAACAGAGGAGTAATGAATGGTTCACTGTTAGCAATAGCCCAAGAGTCCTTCTCTTGGCATAAAAATACCTTATTTCCTTGAAATACCACTTTGGCTTTGGTGACTATGGTGATAAAATTTATTCCATTACCTACAATAGAACCTGCTATGACACAATAAGCACTCAAATATTTGCTGAATGAATAAGCACTGACATTTATGTAACTTTCAACCTGTCTCCCAGTGTTACAAGCTACCAGAATCTGCCACCCTTTGCACTTTACCACATACAAAACTGCTTCCTTATAGAAATCAACAAACTTAATTTTGTAAATAAATCCATTATTTTAAAAGGTTCTCAACGATATGCTTTTGTAAAGAATGTTCTTCTAGAATCCTTTAAGTTCTTGAGACTTTCAAGTGTACATAGAAAGGAATACTTTGTATATGCCCAGATTCAGTTCTTTACTCAGCCATCTGAAATAATTTCTTTCCTCAACTGTGGAAGTCCTTCTTGTTCTTCAGGCTCGTCTATTTCATGAAGGCCTCCCTGGGTCCTCTGTAATGATCACTGTTCATGTCTCCTACTTGTCACTAACTTGCTTTTGGTTTCATGCCTTACTCAACTAAGCTGTATGAATCTTGAAAACAAGACATGCTTCTTTTGTGTCCCCCATACCAAAGCAGGTACTTAACACAGAAATAAAAACATATAATTAAAGAATACTTTTGATTATGCATGTAGTATTTATGAGACTACTCAGGAGCTTATTTATGTTACATTTCTCTTGGGTATAAAGGGAACCCCTCTCTCCCATACTCCTCTCTCCATCAAACCAAATGGATGTCAGATTTTGATTAAGCAAATGGTAAATAAGATAGAAAAGATATTACACAAAATAACCTAGTGTGCTAATCTACAGTATTATTCTTTCTATTAAAAATCTCATTTCATGCTGTTAGGACATCTATATTGTGAGGAGGATGGCAATACGCCTGCTGAGCACTACACAGGTGCTGAGAAAACAGTGACTAATGAAGAAAGATTTAAAATGTGGGTCAGAGCTCCATTATGTGATCCAAATGTCAACTATTATGGCAGCAGTAACACTCTATTCCAAAGAGAAATACTACTATAATGCATGAAGAGACTACTGTAATGTTGGGTAGCGAGGCTGTCACAAACTCAAGCTCCAATACAGCTGGAACTGGGATAGCATCTGCGTATAAGTACATAGTGGACAGAGCCACATATCAAAGAGGGAATAAACAAAATTAGACAGAGTGAAAGCCTACCAAGTAAGAACCTCTAGTTGTCCACATGTTTCTGGGGAAGAAACTGTTATGCAATAAGAGCATCAACATTACTCCCTGACATACCTGAAGTCAGCTGTGGCTGCAAAGGATTCCATTTCTGTAATAGAGAACACACAGAGGAAACCTTCCCCGCTCCGGAAGTAGTTGTCTCTAATGGCAGCGTAGTCCTCCTGCCCAGCTGTATCCAAGATATCGATCTGCACTTCCTCCCCATCCAGCACTACCTTTTTCCGATAGCTGTCTGCTTTGGTAGGCTCATAGTCCTCCACAAACTAAAAAAGATGAAAAATCCATTTAAAAATTAGCTTTACTTTTCAAAACTTCTTATTTTGAAATATAAAGTCACATGAAGTTTCCAAAATAGTAGAGAGATCCTGTACCCCCATTCAGTTTTCCCCAATGGTAAAGATGGTATTAATTTAAGTTTTCATTTTAGACAGCCTCATTTGTAAAAAGTGAGGCTGTTTACAGCTTGAAATGTGTGCCTTTTTTCTTCCTTAAAACACTACCTGCAAACACTATTACATAAGTATAGGCATACCTTAGAGATATTGCAGGTTTGGTTCTAGACAACCACAATAAAGCAAGTTGTAATCTTTCTGTTGGTGGAAAGGGTCTTGCCTACAATTTGGGAAACAAAACCTGTGAAGCGCAGTAAAACGTGGTGCTATAAAATGACGCATGCCAGTATTTTATTAAATGTGTAAGAATCCCTATGTGACTCTAAATAACAATTTTCATGCCAGAATTGTGGAAATAAGGAAATAACTTGAAAGTAAGTCTATATTCAGGTAAACACTGAAAGTACCATTAAATCTTTTCTTTCTCCAAAATGAATCAAGTCAAACTGGCTTATACTTCTCTGCAGAATGTTAAATCTTGAATTTTGAGATTTCTTCTCAAACTTTTGATATATATATTTAATCCTCATCCAAGGATATTTTTCCACTGATTTTTTAGAGAATGGATGAGAGGGAAAGACCTCTGTCCGAAGTACTGATGTGAGAGAAACACACAGACTGGTTGCCTCCTGCATGCACCCCGACCAGGGCCTGGACCCGGGAGGAGTCTGCAACCAAGGTACGTGCCCTTGCCGGAATCAAACCCAGGACCCTTTGGTCCACAGGCCGATGCTCTACCCACTGAGCCAAACAGGCTAGGCCTGATATTTTTAAATAGTAAATTAAACAACTTTACATGCCCACTTCTATTTTCAACCTCATGAATCTCACCTTGATATTTTCATCAGTGCATTATTGTTAGTGTGAGTCTATATATGAACACACTTTTATTAGTTCCTATAAATATTTCATTCTTTAATACTCTCTTATTTATTTACTCACTGTCTATATCCTCCTGCTAGCATTTAACCTCTAGGAGCAGGTGCTGACTACTGGGACTTACACTATATCTCCAAAGTCTAAAATAGTGCCTTGTACATTTTAGACACTCAATAAAGAATTATTTTTTAGAAAATGAACAGAGTATGTTTATAACTACAAAAGCTATAGAACATTCTATCATATTTACATGCTAATGTTTTACAAATATTTATGAACATCAAATGAATATTTATATTTATGAATATTAAATGAAGGCTTAACCATTCATCAAAGGTCAGGATTGTGAATATTATTACTTTTGACCTCCTTATTGTCAAGGAGACGGATTTAGGATTAGGTTGAAAGAGTAGCTAGGTTTCGGTCAGAATTGCTGAGTCGGTAAACTCTGTGCTCTCCTCCTCCCATGACCCCACAAAATTACAACTAAATTATAGACCAACCATTACTGAGATGAGACCACCTGAAGACTAGCTGCACACACGTCCTAAAACTAAGGGTATAAAGAATCCATATCCAGACTGGTAGGATGGGTGAAGACGTGAAATGGGCAGGCCCCACACTAAGTATCAGGAGGGGTATCTTGGCTGTGGAGGTCCCCCTGAGGAGGAAGTGGATCCAGCCTTATACCAGGCTCTGCAGACCGAGGTCTGAAAGAGGAGCCTGCACATCTGGCTGTGCATTTGAGAAAGACAGGGGACTGCTGGAACTGATGTGAACTTCTTGGGAGGCCAGCAACAGAGTCACTCACTTACAAACTCAGTAGCTCTAAGTTCCCATGCAAGGGCAGCAGCTTGAAAACCACTGGCAACATCTGGGGAGGAACTAAATTGACTGACTTCAGGAAGGGGGCTGGAGGGGGAGAGATCAGGGCAATTCTCTCTGTGGACAGAAAAGCTGGCAGGTGCCACCGTTCCTTTGTTGAACTCCCCCCTCAACCTAGCCAGCCAGGCACAAGTGGGAGCCAAATCTGTGCTCTCCTTTAACCTGGCTAACACCATACACCCCACCCTGATGATTCCAAGACCCTGTCCCATCCAACTCACTTGCCCAGCCCAAGCCTCTTCCAGCAGCTCCTACAGAAAAGTACCCTGCCTTGGCTACTGCTGTGAACTTTCCCAAAATGTCTGAAAGATCCCCGAACCCCCAAAAGCAGCAGTGACCTTGGTGTACCTTGTAGCTCTTGTAAGCAGCCCCAAGCCCAACAAAAGTGGTGACAGGTCTCAACTTACACTGTTAACTCCCATCAACTTGCACTGTTAACTCCCATCAGCAGACCCCAGGCCTGGCATAAGCAGTAGCCAGTGTTGGCCTGGAACACAGCTTTAACTAAGCAGCCACAAACCTGGCAAGGTGGTGCCTGGTCTCAATTTGCACTATGGTGCCCATCACAGGGTCCCATGACAGGAACGAGTAGCGCCCAGCCTCAGCAGACAGTGTAGCCTCTCCCAAGCATCTCCAAATCCAGCGCCAGTGGCAACCAACTATACATCACTTTGAAGCTTCTACTTGGGAGACCCCAAGCATGAAACAAAAGGCAGCTGACCTTGACCTGCACTGGAGCCCTTTCCAGGAGGCTCCAGACCCAACATGCCCAGTGACCAGTATCACAACACACCACAGCATCTCTCTAGCAGCTCCACAAATGACAAACCTAAAGGCCAGACTCAGTGGGCACCAGTGCCCCACTAAAGCAACTCTTACTCCAATGGGTCAGTCAAGACACAACAGCATGCCTGCTACTGTCACAGTCACCCTCATAGGCAGTCAGCCCGAGGTCAACCCCACTCACTCACATGCCAACAGCAACTGAACCCCAACTACAACTGGTGGGCACACACAACCCACACAGAAGACATTCCTGGGGCACCAAGCACAGGTGACCAGGAAGACTGTATTACTGGGCCCCATAGGACACCTTCTACATAAAAGATCACACTATCAAGACCAGGAGACATAGCAAGATCTACTTAAAAACAGACACAAACATACACACACAACCAAAGTGAAGAGACAAAGAAATTCTTCCCCAAAAGAAAGGACAGGACAAAATGCCAGAAAACTAAGTAAAATGGAGACAAGCAATCTATCACATACAGAGTTCAAAACATAGTTATAAGAATGCTCAAAAACCTAGGGGAAGAATAGATGAATTCAGTGAGAACTTACACAAAGTGATAGAAACCATAAAAAAGAACCAGTCAGAAATGAAGAATACAATAACTGAAATGAAGAATGTGTTAGAGGGAATCAACAGCAGATTACATGAAGCAGAGGACAGAATCAGCAATGTGGAAGACAAGGTAGAAGAAAACATCCAATCAAAACAGCAACAAGGAAAAAAGAAAAATATGAGACTAGTTTAAAGGACTCCCGGGACAACATCAAGCATAACAATATTCACATCACAGGGGTACCAGAATAAGAAGAGAGAGAGCAAGGAATTAGAAACCTATTCAAAGAAATAATGAATGAAAAGTTCCCTAACTTGGTGAAGGAAATAGACATACAAGTCCAGGAAGTGCAGAGTCCCAAACAAGATGAATCCAAAAAGGCCCACACCAAGACACATCATAATTAAAATGCAAAAGGTTAAAGACAAAGGGAGAATCTTCAAAGCAACAAGAGAAAGGCGATTACCTACAAGGCAGTTCCCAAAAGACTGTCAATTGGTTTCTCAACAGAAACTTTGTAGGCCAGAAGGGAATGGCACAAAATATTCAGTGATAAAAAGTAAGGACCTACAACCAAGATTACTCTACCCCACAAGAATCAAAGCAGATAGACATAAAGAGCTGCCTAGATAAGAAAAAGCTAAAAGTGTTCATCACCACCATGCCAGTATTTTAAGAAATGTTAAAGGGAGGAGGAGGAGGAGGAGGAGGAGGAGAAAGATCAAAGGTATAATAATAAAACAGCAATAACTGCATAACTATCAATAACTACTTTAAGTGTAAATTAATTAGTGCTCTAGTCAAACGACATAGGGTAGCTGACTTGATAAGAAAACAAGACCCAATATATGATGCCTACAAGAGACCCATTTCAGATTAGATACACCTTGACTAAAGAAAAGGGATGGAAAAAGATATTTCAGACAAGTGAGAGCAAAAAGGAGAGCTGGAGTCACAATACTTATAGCAGACAAAATATACTTTAAAACAAAGGCTATACCAAAATAAAGAAGAGCACTTCATAACCATAAAGGGAACAATACATAAAAAGGACAGAACACTTGTAAACATCTATTCACCAAATGTAGCAGCATGTAAATACCTAAAGCAAATATTGACAGCCATAAAGAGAGAGCTCAACAGTAAGACAGTAACAGTAGGGGACTTTAACACTCCATTGACAACAATGGGTTGAACATCCACACAGAAAATCAGCAAGGAAACAGTGGCCTTAAATGATGCATTAGACCATATAAATTTAATTGATATTTTTAGAGCACCTCACCCCAAAGCAGAATATACATTCAAGTGCACACAGAATATTTTCCAGAACAGACCACATGTCAGACCACAAAACAAGTCTCAATAAATTTAAGAAGACTTAAATCATATGAAACATCTTCTCTGACCACAATGGTGTGAAATTAGAAATGAACTACAAAAAGAAAACTGAAAAAACACACAAACATGTGGAGGCTAAATAATGTGCTAGTAAACAATGAATGGGTTAACAATGAGATCAAGAAAGGTATTAAAAGATACACCAAGTCAACCCAAAATCTATGGGACAAGATAAAGCAGTTGTAGAGAGAAAATTACAGCAATACAGTCCTACCTCAAGAAGCAAGAAAAATCTCACTTTATTCCTAAAGAAAATAGAAAAATAAAGCCAAAAGAGATTATAAGGAAGAAGATAATAAGATCAAAGCAGAAAAATTTTTTAAAAGATCAATGAAAGCAAGAACTGGTTCCCTGAAAACATAAACAAAACTGATAAGCCTTTAGCCAGACTCATCATAAAAAAACAGAGAAGACTAAAATTATTAAAATCAGAAATAAAACTGACAATTGATGCTACAGAAATATAAGAATTGTAAGAAAATACTATGAACATTTGTATGCCAACAAATTGGGCAACCTGGAAGAAGTAAAAAATTCCTAGAAACATACAATCCTCCAAGATTGAATCAGGAAGAACCAAAAAATCTGATGAAATCAAATCAGTACTCAAAATACACCCAACAAAAGTCCTGGAACAGATGGACTTTCACCAAACATTCAAAGAAGAATTAACATCTATCTTTCTTAACCTATTCAAAAAAAATTGAAGACGAGGAAAGACTCCCAAACTCATTTTACCAGGCTAGTATACTCTGAAAAAATCAGACAAAGAAAATTCTAGCCAATATCCCTGATGAACATAGAGGAAAATCCTCAACAATATATTAGCAAGTTGAATTCAGCAATACATTAAAAAGATCATACACTGTGATCAAATGGAATATATTCTCAGGATTCAAGGTTGGTTCAATGTGAACAAATCAATTAACATGACAGATAACACCACATGAATAAAATGAAAGCCCTGTCTGGTTTGGCTCAGTGGATACAGTGTTGGCCTGCGGACTGAAGAGACCTGGGTTCAATTCCGTCAAGGGTATGTACCTTGGTTGCAGGCTCCATCCCTGGCCTTGGTCAGGGTATATGCAAGAGGCAACCAATTGATGTGTCTCTCTCACATCAATGTTTTTCTCTCTGTGTCTCTTCCCCTCCCTTCCACTCTCTCTAAAAATAATGGGAAAAAATCCTCGGGTGAGGATTAAAAAAGACAAAAAGGAAGGTAAAAATAATATGATCACTTCAATAGGTGCAAAAGCATTGACAGAATCCAAAATTCATTCATGATAAAAACTCTCACGAAGTGAGGAGGATGGGGAATCAAACCTTAACATAATAAAGATCATATATGACAAACCCACAGTTACCATAACTTTCACCATAGCAATCCGATAAGGGGGAAAAAAGGCATCCAAATGAATTCCGTAAAGTAGCAGGACACAAAATTAATATTCTGAGACTGGTTGCATGTTTAAACACCAATAATGAATTGTCAAAGAAATTAAGAAAACAATGCCATTTACAATTGCATTGAAAAGAATAAAATATCTAGAAATAAATTTAACCAAGGAGGTAAAAGACCTGTACTTGGAAAACTAGAAGACACTGAAGGAATAAAAGAAGATACAAACAAATGGAAGGATATTCTGTGCCCATGGATCGGAAGAGTTAATATTGTTAAAAATATCCATACTATCCAAAGCAATCTACAGATTCTATGCAATCCCTATCAAAATACCAATGGCATTTTTCACAGAATTAGACCTAAGAATCCTAAAATTTATGTGGATTCACAATAAACTCTATATAGCCAAAGCAATATGGAGAAAGAAGAACAAAGTCTGAGGTATCATGCCACTTGTTATCAAACTATACCACAAGGCTTTTGTAATCAAAACAACATGGTACTGGCATAAAAACAGACATAAAGATTAATGTAACAGAATAGAGAGCCCAGCCATGCTTCTATGGTCAACTAATATATGAGAAAGGAGACAAGGATATATAATGGAGTAAAGATAGTGCATTCAATAATTGGTGTTGGGAAAATGACAAACACATGGAAAAAAACAGAAACTAGACCACTTTCTTAAACCATAAACAAAAGTAAACTCAAAATGGGTTAAAGACTTAAATATAAAACCTGAAATCATGACATTCTTAGAAGAAAAATAATAGGCATTAAACTCTTTGACATCGGCCCTAGCAATATTTTGGGGGGCTATGTCTCCTCAAGCAAAAGAAACAAAATAAAAAATGGGACTAAAAACTAAAATTTTTATTACAGTGTAGAAAACCATCAACAAAACAAAAACTTACTGAATGGGAGAAGATATTGACCAGTGATGCATTCGATAAGAGGTTAATATGCAAAATTCATAAAAAAACTCATACAACTTTTCACCAAAAAACCACCAAACAATCCAATTACAAAATGGGCAGAGGACCTGAACATTTCTTCAAAGAGGTCATACAGATGGCCAATACACATAAGAAAAAATGCTCAATGTCACTAATCATCAGAGAAATGCAAATTAAAGCCAGAGGAAATACAACCTCACACCTGTCAGAATGCCTATCATCTATAAATCAACAAACAACATGTTGTGTAGAAAAGAAAACTTCATGCACTGGTGTTATAGGACTCGAAATTGGTACAGCCACTGTGGAGAACAGTATGGAGGTGGTTCCTCAAAAAACTAAAAATAGAACTGCTACACGTCTCAGCAATTCCATTTCTGGGTATTTATCTGAAGAAATCCAAACCACTAATTTGAATAGACCCATGTACCCCAATGTTCACTGCAGCATTATTTACAATATCCAAGATATGGAAGCAACCGAAGTGTCTACTGATAGATGAATAGATAAAAGAAGACGTGTACATATATACAATGGAATATTACTCAGCTGTAAGAGAATGAAATCTTGCCATTTGCAACAACATAACACCCTTCACTTAGATTAATATTCTAAGTGAAGTCAGACAGAGAAAGACAAATACTATATGATTTCACTTATATGTGAAACCTAAAAAATAAAATAAATGAACAAACAACACAGACACAAACTCATAGATATAGAGAACAAATGGATGGTCTCTATATCAGAGAGGGGTTTGTGGAATGGATGAAAAATGTGAAAGGAATTAATAAGTACAAATTGCCAGTTATAAAAATAGTTATGGGGATGTAAAGTACAGCACAGGGAATAGGGAATATTTTAATAACTATGTATGGTGTACTAGATGGCACTAGATTTATCAGGGTGATCACAAGTTATTTAAATGTCTACTCACTATGGTGTACATGTGAAAGTAATATAATATTGAATGTCAGCTATAATTGAAAAATGAATTATAAAATTTTTTAAAAGATGACAATGATTTTAAAAAAGAAAAAGGAAATATTAATTAGGATGCTAGAGCAAGTACTTTGTGGAAGAATGTCTTGTAAGCCATAATTTTTGAAAAAGGAAACCATTATTCTTACCACTTGACAAAGTGTAGTTTGTACACTTTGATTTTTTTAAAAAAGAAGAGCCCTAGCCAATTTGGCTTAGTGGGTAGAGCATCAGCCTGCGGGCTGAAGGGTCCCAGGTTTGATTCTGATCAAGGGCACATGCCCAGGTTGCGGGCTCGATCCCCAGTGGAGGGCATGCAGGAGGCGGCTGATCAATGATGCCCTCTCATCATTCATGTTTCTATCTCTCCCTCGCCCTTCCTCTATGAAATCAATAAAAAATAAATTAAAAAAAAAAAAGAAGAGTAGCTGTTAAAATGAATAGTATGGACAACAGAATTGAACAGATAAATTAGTAATTTCATTTGAAGTACTATTTCAATTTCCCCTCTGTTCAAATTTTTTATTATAGTCACTGACAAGTGAGACAACTGATAGATTTAAGATTTTTGTGTGTATGAAAAATATGGTATAGAAGGATGCAATAGAAGAAGACATGGGGTGGTAGAAATCTGCAAGATTTTTTTTCAAGAGACCAATGTAAGCAGGTTGAATAACCTCTCTGAGGGTTTGTTTTCTCATCTGTAAAATGGGAATACCACTACCTACCATGCAGGACTTTTATGAGCATTAGGTAAGAAAGAGTAACCACAAAACCCTGCTTTTATTAGAAGAATTGAGGATAAATGCTTAAATTAGGTGACCAACTCTTAAATTATTTAGACTTAATAATAGTCTTCCAGGGAAAGAATCTGGATCGATAAAGTCTGATATATTATATGCACACAAATCTGATAACCTGTCTAGCAATTACATTTTAGGCATACAGCCTTTACCTGTTTAATGGTGAATGTAGTACCATGCCAAATACACAATAAAGAACCTTTTAACTGAAGTTATTATAGGACACCTTATGTATGTTAACCTCAAGTCTCAATTAGGTACTATATTCACCAGTTCTATTAATTCAAGGTGAGAATTGCCATTAAAACACTAAAAATAAAGGCCCAAGTTAGATTGCTTAAGAATAGGTACTGTTTCTAGATCTGTTTTGTTTTTTTTTAAGGATAAGGTTTTTATGAACTTTGAGTTCTTGACTTGGTATATAAATCTGTATATAAATGTTGGTTCTGAATTTAAAAAGGAAAAAAAAAATTAATAGTGTTCAAAGATTCAAGGAATTAATCCAAAACAACACCAAACTAAGCTAGAGAAATACTCTCTGAAAACCCAAACTTTGATATCCATTATAAAATTAGCACTTACCTCATCATACATGAACTGCAGAGTCAGAGCGGACTTGCCAACACCACCACTGCCCACCATGATGACTTTGTGTAAGGCCAAAGAATTCTGACCCTTGGGCTTATTTGTGGCCATCTTATATCAGTTTTCACCAAAGGAGTAAGGAGAATCTAAAAAGAATGAGAGAATAAGTAATGCTCAGTATATTCTTCTTCAGAATCCAGTAAAGGAAAGAGGTATGATGTCCTTATGCTTCAAGATACTAGTTTTCATCCTGCAGTGATTTTAAACAGATGGCAAATGAAATGTGCTCATTTAAGAGAAAAACCACTTATCAGAGAACAACACCTTGCCAATAAAACAAGTATATAACTCAAGGGCATTTCTCTTATAATAGTTTTTAGTAATGAGCTGTGACCAAAAGTGAAAACATCCCAGTGCAACCACATGTTGACGATAATAGAGTTGTATGAGAATATAATCACATAGATTATGAAAACCGGTTAAATGATCACTTTGTTTTCATATTAACCTCTATTGGCAATAATTGAAGAGATATTTTCCTAGTTCCAGTAAGAAACTGGACAACAAAAGAAGAATGCCAACTGAAAGGCTTATTTCAGTTTAGAAAAGAAGAAACCACATCCCAGCAAATTGGTAGTAGAATTATGAATAGAATCCAACACCATCTACCCCAACTCCAAAGTATCCTAGCACTGGAATGTTGGGTGGATGGCTAATAAACAAATGTTTCAAGTCCTGGGTCTTGTGCCCTTCTGTGGAACAAGCATCATTTGTTTACTACGTGCATGTGCTCAGCGTGGAAAGGCCAGGTTCCTTCAGAAGCTGTACTGGTGAGGTACATTAACGGCACCCAGTTACCTTTGACTATGGTACCAGGTCTTAGAAAAGGAGGCCACGAGGTCACAACAAACACTGACTCTGTGTGGAGGACCAAACAAGAAGAGTTTATCTTATTAGGAGATCCGGGGACTTACCTTTCCTTCTCAGCATCTCTTTGACTTATTTTGGCCACAGCTCACAGGACCACACCCCATCCTGCCTACTTCCCTATATTGTGCTAATCTCTCCCAGTTTAGCTGCATCAGACACACACTGGTCTCCCTTCAGTTCTTCATATGCTCTTCTCCACCTCTTAGCATTTGCTATACAGTTTCTTCCATTTGGCACATTCTTATTCTAGCTGGCAAACTCCTCTGTTTTAGGATTTCAGCCTTACCTGAAAATCTCAGTCTAAATTAGGCTCTTCCCTGTCCTTTGCTCTCTTTCCTTGGGGGCCATGGGCAGTTGGCGGGCTTGCCCCACCCCCGATCGGGGTGGGGGGTGCCAATCAGGGGTGGGGGTGGCTGGGGGGAGGGGCCCCAGGTGATTGGCGGGCTAGCCCTGCCCCCTGGTTGAACTCTGGTCGAACTTTCGGTCGAGGAGATAATTTGCATATTACCCTTTTATTATATAGGATTATTATATAGGATAATTGCACTTTGGGAAAATGTCTTTGGGACCCTCTTCCTTTTCTAAGTCACAGACTATATTTTAAATTGTTGTGGAAGGAAAAGTGTTTTAACCCAGTTGGTATAATTGCTAAATGTTTTGCTTTAAAAATGAGCACACAGCTCTGGCCCATGTATCTAAGTGGTTAGAGCATCAGCTCGAGAACCAAAGGGTCACAGGTTCGACTCTGGTCAAGGGCATGTACCTGGGTTTCAGGTTTCCCTGGTTGGGGCATGTTGGGGAGCAAACAATTCATGGGCTCTCTCACATCAATGTTTTTCTCTGTCCTCGCTCCCTCTCCCCCCTTCCATCCAGTCTCCCTAAAATCAATGGAAAAAATATCTTCCAGGAAGGATTAACAAAACGAAAAATGTACACACACACAATTTTAGAGTATTAATTGATATGGTAACACCCTGAGCTCATGTGATACTTAATGTTTTAAAAATAAAACCATAGTTAAGAAGCCATGAAATGATTACAGCTACTGAGTAAGGATTATAATAGTGAGAAAGAAGTAATTTCCTGATTTATTTAGACATACCAGCAGCAGCATGCTCTGTAAACCTGTGTAGGCTTGGTTTACACTTATCTGAAGTGTACTATTTTCACTATTTCTGAGCAGTGGTAGTCAGTCAGAATAGAATGATCATGTCCTTGGTATCCAGGAAAAAGAGGGACTCAATCCTGTTGTTTGAGTTGAATTGAACTTCGAGCCTTCAAGTGTGGATTCTTTACCGTACATTTCACAGTTTAAGCTGCTTCTGCTAAAATGATCTATATACATAAAAACCTAAGCAAGTGGCCAACCAGTCAATCGTTACCTTAACTTAGCCTACTGTCTTTTGCACCTACCATAACATACCTTTGGAATGGCAGGGTAACTCTCCTTTTCCCAGACCCCTCAGGGCACAACCAATGCACCCCATGGAGACCATAATTCCTCTCACTGCTATTATCATGCTAATTGTTGACTATTAACTATCCTGTACCCACCTATGTAAAAGATGTAAATGTCTATCACTTTACTTTTAATCCAATCCCCACTTTGCTTCCTCCCATCTCCCTTATCTATCACCAATGGACTTCATGTAACTCACTTTTGTCTTCTCTCTTGACTGTACTGAATAAAATAAAGTGCAAAACTGCCATTTCTGAAGCATTATCTCAATCTGTTGAGATTTTGCTTCTCAGCAATTATTGACAGTTTGGTTCAAATAAACTCACAAAAATTCACTATAGGTTTGAATGTTTCTTATGTTGTCGAGAGAAAGACAAATCCAATATGATCTCACTCACATGTGGATCTGAAAAAAAAAACAAGAAAGAAAAGAAAAAACCAAGCTCATAATTGCAGAGACCTGACTGGTATTTCCCAGAGGCAGGGCAAAATAGGTGAAGGGGACCATAAGGTACAAACCTCTAGTGCAGGGGTCCTCAAACTATGGCCCGCGGGCCACATGCAAATACAAATATTGTATTTGTTCCCGTTTTGTTTTTTTACTTCAAAATAAGATATGTGCAGTGTACATAGGAATCTGTTCATAGTTTTTTTTTAAAACTATAGTCCGGCCCTCCAACGGTCTGAGGGACAGTGAACTGGCCCCCTGTTTAAGAAGTTTGAGGACCCCTGCTCTATGAAAAAAATAAGTCAAGGGGCTTTAATATACAGCATGGTGACTATAGTTAGTAATACTACTGACTTAGGTGGAAGTTGCCAAGAGGGTAATTTTAAAAGTTCTCATAAGGAAAAAAAAAATTTTTGTAACTATGTGTGGTGATGGATGTTAACTAGATTTACTGTGGTGATCACTTCTCAGTCTATACAAATAGCAAATCATGTTGTACACATGAAACTAATATGATGTTAGATGTAAATTACATAGCACTTAAAAAAGACTGCATATTGTCTGATTCCATTTATGGAGTCCAGAAATTTCCAAATAGGCAAATCTGTACAGATGGAAGTAGATTAAGTACAGTTGACCCTTGAACAACACAGGTTTGAAATGCACGGGTCCACCTATACATGGGTTTTGGTTACTAAATATGTACAATGCTGTACATTTTTTTCCTTATGACTTTTTTTTAATACATTTTATTGATTTTTCAGAGAGAGGAAGGGAGAGGGACAGAGAGTCAGAAACATTGATGAGAGAGAAACACCGATCAGCTGTCTCTCGCAAACTCCCCACTGGGGATGTGCCCGAAACCAAGGCGCACGCCCCTGACCGGAACCAAACATGGGACCTTTGCGTCCGCAGGCTGACACTCCACCCACTGAGCCAAACCGGCCAGGGCTCCTTATGACTTTCTTAATAACATTTTCTTTTCTCTAGCTTACTTCATTGTAAGAATATATATTATTTGTATATAACATACAAAATATGTTAATCAACTGTTTATGGTATCAATAAGGCTTCCAGTCAACAGTAAGCTTTTAGTAGTTAAGTCTGGGGTGAGTTAAAGTTATACACAGATTTTCAAATGCGCAGATGTCCACACTAATAACCCCGACATTGTCCAAGGGTCAACTGTGGTTGCTTGGGGCCATAGGGGTGGATGGAATCAAGAGTGATGACTTAATGAGCATGGGGTTTCTTTTATGGGGTAATGAAAATGTTCTTGAATTCGATAGTGGTGATGATTGCACACTACATCTACTAGATGGCATACTTTAAGAGTAAATTTTATGATATGTAAATTATATCTTAGTAAACTTGTTATTTTAAAAAATCAGCCTCCCACATCCCCCAAATAAGCAAAGGTCATATAAAGGCATTTCACAGAATAAAAAATATAAATAACCACTGAATGTACAAAAGTTCAAACAGCTGTAACCAAATATATAATCTTCAAAATAAAACATAAAGACAGGAATAGTTTTTATAATCTGATCAAGTTTTATTTTATTTTTTTAAAAATCTATTTTATTGATTTTTTTTCAGAGAGGAAGGGAGAGGGATAGAGAGTTAGAAACATCGATGAGAGAAACATCGATCAGCTGCCTCCTGCACACTCCCTACTGGGGATGTGCCTGCAACCAAGGTACATGCCCTTGACCGGAATCGAACCTGGGACCCTTGAGTCTGCAGGCCAATGCTCTATCCACTGAGCCAAACCGGTTAGGGCAAGTTTTATTTTATTGTGAAGGACCAAGACAACTACTAAAAACCCCAAGCACCACCTGGCTGGTGTGGCTCAGTGGTGAGTGTCAACCCATGAACCAGGAGTCATGTGTGGTTCTCAGTCAGGGCACATGCTCAGGTTTCGGGCTCAATCCCCAGTGGGGGGTGTACAGGAGGCAGCTGATCAATGATTCTCTCTCATCATTGATATTCTGACCTCTCTCTCCCTTCCTCCCTCTGAAATCAATAAAAATATATAAAACACACACACACACATACACACACACACACACACACACACACACACACACAAAACCCCAAGCACCAAGTAAGATTAAATGAAGCAACAGACTCAGAGAGAATTATCTTAGTTGTAGTGTTTAGTCATATGAAATAGGAAGACCTTGGTGATTAATAGGGTGTTGGGAAAGTTACTAATAATCCAAAAATTAAGAGAGCAGGGTTGGTGTCCCAGAAACCTAAGTCCTCAGGGCATAGGGATTTTGTCACCGACAAAATGTCTCAGGCAG